GAGTATTATAATAATGTAAGGAACGTTCTTTTCCAACAGTGCCAACTGATGGGAGTATTATAATAGCGTAAGGAACGTTCTTTTTGCAGAATTGGGTCCTTAGATTTTTTCAAAATGTCAGATAAGGTTTAGAGGGTATTTAAACGTTGCTAACGATCATTTCCAACCCATGTTGTTAAAGTTTCATCCTTGACTAGCAAAGAGTTTTCCAAGAGGAGAGGATAATCCAACAATACACTAGGATTATATTTTCCATAATTGGTTCGACGATGACCACAGTCATTCATTTCGTCTTTCGTCGACACAACAAGCCCCCAAAAATCAATCTCCTTAACTTGATCGCCGTATTCGCCTCCATAATCCCATTTCAACATACACGAATTAATTGCAGTTCATATTCCTCGATGATTGGAATGAAAACGAGCAAGGCTTTCCGGCATCACAAGTAGACAATGCTGGGTTCATGCTCTTAATCCGACAAGATATGATCCAAACCATTATGTTCGGGTTCTAAAGAAATGGCCATTCAGTGTGTACATAAGTAGCCAGAGTTTCCCACTAGATTTTACAACTTTAACTGATTTTCATACTAAAAGCTTTTAGGCATAATAAATAGTTAAAATAAAAAAAAATCAACCGAAAACATTAAAACAGATAAGATCTTAATTTTCACATAAACAATAAAATAAAACAACCCATTTTGAAAATGGACAATAACACAAATATATTTGTGGAAAACTATCAAAGATGTAGAATGACGTAAAACATAGAATCTTTAATCAGAAAGTAAAAAAAATATAAAATATTATCTATATTAATAACTAATAATTAAATTTACTCTTAAATTTCCGAATAAAAGATTATTCTTCGAAGCTAAGCCTTACGGAAAATTCATTATACTTCCCAAAAGTATTAAACATAAACAAATATTGAAAGTGCAATGAAAATTTAAAACAACCTACATTAGGATACCTTACACAAGCGATTTATACTGATGCATTCTGATTTTAAAAATCTATAGAAGGTCCAAGACTCGATCTACGACATGTTTCTTAAAATGCTTTCAGCCATGGGAGCGTTATAAGAGTGAAATCAATCCCGCTATTTGATTTAGAGTAAATAGGTGACAAGTGGTGTTTGCTGACTTCCTCCCTTCTGGTCAGCAGTTCTAAATTAGATGTGAACATATCTGAGCCTTAGAGGTCTCTGATCTGGTACATAAAGTGCTATACAGGTTGAAAATAGGTACTGGAAAAGGAAGGGATATGGATCATCTAGGGGCACCAGGATCATCCAGAAAGAGATATACAAGAAGGATCTCCTGAGAGAATAGCGACAACATTAACGACGTAGTGAGGCTTGTTTACTATATGTAAAGCTGGACCAACATGATTTGGCATGATCTGATGTGAACTTTAGAATGTTTTATATTTCATTTTAATGACTAAACTATACAAACCAACTGTAAAATGAAACTGTATTTAAACATTTGAAAATGTATAATTTTTCATTACCTTATCCTCAATGGCTGACCATTCAGAAAATTCTTTGAAAAATATGTGGCAATATAAAAGTGATCGGATTCTAGAACGTTTGGCAAAATAAGTGAAGATAAATTAACCTTGATGAGCAACCATAGTCTGCTTTAGTGGAGAGCCCACTGTTAGATCTCATATGATTTCCTTGAAACGTCAAATTACCAACCTGCTTATATATATATATATATATATCATTCACAACAGATGGGATACATATATATATATATTGCAACTTATTGAATATTTCCTGTTGTTGTCTATGACAACAAATATAGGATGAAATAACTCATTTTCTAATGTTAAATACTTAGGGAAATTCACCAATAATTAGTGGGGTAAAATTCAACAGTTATATATTTTGTATTTCGAGTGACTTGTGTGTTATTAGGGATATTGGATCCACAAGTAAGTCGGTGGGTATATTGTTTAAAAAGCCAATATGGACTTCATACGCTACGTAAAATTCATTTTGAGTTTATATATAAGTGTCTTCAAGTTCAAATTAGATTTTAAGAACTTTCTAATTAAAATTTGTAATATATACATTTTCCCTAGAACGTAATATGTTTCACCATAAATGACTTGATACTCAAGTTTTTCTTTTTCCAATGACTCAACGTTTGTGTTCATTTTTTCTCTAGAGCTCAATATCACAAGATAGAACAGAAACTTTAGTGATACAAGTCAGAAGAGAAGAAGAACAGCAAACAATTAGACAGCGACGATTCTCCACTGTTGACAGTTCTTTCCCTCATCAGTGACTTTCGTTTCAACTATAGGGTTCGATACGCTCAGTTGAAAAAACAAAGTTTTGTTTTCTCGCTGTTTCTATTTTCTCGCTCAATCGACACTAAAAAAACCTTAATAAATCTTGCCAAAGATACTGCTATAAACTTAATGGTGGAGATATGAATTGATTATATTATTGACGCCGATAGAAGGCATATTTTACCTTGTTCCAAGTATGGGGCTGTATCTCGAGACTCTGGACGTGCATGATCATGACGTCGTCGAAAAAACAAACAAACTTTTCGCCTTACGAATTAAAATTGGAGTCTCTGCGATGCTAACGTCACGTAAAACGAGGATATCGTTAAGTACCGAAACAAGAAGTGGATAAAAAAGACGTTTTCCTCTGTTACATTCTCTATTGGCAAACTATGTTTATGTGAATGTGAGTTAGAAGCACAAAGTTAACTATATACGAGGCAGTGCTGAAAAGCCATTGCGTAATCACAGCACTACCTGGTGGTGTTTTTATGTATGTATTAACACACATTAAAAAAAAGGGTTACACTATTTACATAAACTAGTTCTTGTTTACGATGTCCATTAACAGAAATATCAGAGAGGCTTAAATATAGTATCTTACTTTAGTCATTATGTTAACTTTTACGTTGTTTACATAGTTATAAAGGATCTCGTTTTCAGGGTATTTTAAAGCTTTAAGAAGGGCTTGAATGCTCTATAGTAAAACAGGAGAATTAGTGTTGAAGGTATCAATTTGTATCTAGTCTTCTGGTTATTGAATAAGGTGGCTGATGATATTGAGAGAAATGATTGTCCACCTGGTGTATTTTACTCGCATTTCATCTCACGTTTGTGCAGTAATATCTCATATTTTCTCGTATTCAAGCTTTACAGAGAGACCTTAAAACCGTGTTTCTGACAAATATTTCTCTGTAGTTATTAATATTACATATTTGTATATAAAGTGTAATTAATAACAGTATAACGCAAAAAAAAGTTTAATTACATTAAGTCGTGCTGTTATGTAAAATTTAACTCGCATGGCCAAACATGTTATCATAATTAAAGCTATTTAATCAAGTTATTTAACGAAGATTTGTTTTAAATGTAAACCTAATAACTAATTCATATTTTTTTACTACTGAAAGATATTGTAAAGTTTTAGGCTTAAATTAAATGAATTAAATTGATGCAGGTAAGTTACTAGGTACGCTGGATGCGGGTGATGGAAATGAATCAGTGATTATGATTCTCTAGCAACAAGCGTTACTACGCCTTTTCTAGGTATGTTTGCTACTTGCTTTATGTGGTGAAGTAACTTATTGAAAGTTACGTAATTAAAAATGGTATTGAAACAATTTGGAATTTTATAACATTGAAGATAGCTGGCATGACTTCTAACTTTCTTTCCTTTTTGTGCTGTAATGTTTAATATAGTTCAGAAATATTTGATGGTACGGTAAACATTTTTTTTCATATCTTTTACTCCTCTATATGAGTAATAATAAACAATATGGTTTAGGTGTAATTATTGACTTATTGTTCGTAGGTTTTCATTATTATTGTTGAAACAAATTTCATCGTAAAGATCATCAGCAAGTTAAGATATTATTTATTGAAAGGTATATCTGATCTTCTGTACTGTGATACAAGTACACTATAATAAAGGTGTAATATTCATTAATGTAACCTATCATCATCAGTATGAATAGAGTATTGAGTTTCGCTGGCAAGAATGAGTTCGAAAAAATTAAGGAAACTTCCTCACGTAATTGTTTATTGATAAATACAAAAGCTGCAATGTTTATTACACTATAATAAAGGTGTAATGTTCATTAATGTGACCTATCATCATTAGTATGAATAGCGTATTGAGTTTCGCTGGACAAGAATGAGTTCGAAAAAATTAAGGAAACTTCCCCACGTAATTATTTATTGATAAATACAAAAGTTTCAATGTTTATTACACTATAATAAAGGTGTAATATTCATTAATGTGACCTATCATCATTAGTATGAATAGCGTATTGAGTTTCGCTGGACAAGAATGAGTTCGAAAAAATTAAGGAAACTTCCCTATTGATAAATGATAATTGATAATTGTTTATTGATAAATACAAAAGTTTCAATGTTTATTACACTATAATAAAGGTGTAATATTCATTAATGTAACCTATCATCATTAGTATGAATAGAGTATTGAGTTTCGCTGGACAAGAATGAGTTCGAAAAATTAAGGAAACTTCCCTATTGATAAATGATAATTGATAATTGTTTATTGATAAATACAAAAGTTGCAATGTTTATTACACTATAATAGAGATGTAATATTCATTAATGTGACCTATCATCATTAGTATGAATAGAGTATTGAGTATCGCTGGACAAGAATGAGTTCGAAAAAATTAAGGAAACTTCCCTATTGATAAATGATAAATGATAATTGTTTATTGATAAATACAAAAGTTGCAATGTTTATTACACTATAATAAAGATGTAATATTCATTAATGTGACCTATCATCATTAGTATGAATAGAGTATTGGGTATCGCTGGATAAGAATGAGTTCGAAAAAATTAAGGAAACTTCCTCACATAATTAACTTAGGTTTAGTCAGTATATTTTATTTTAACTAGAAAAGTAACATTCTGTTGTATGATGGGCCGGGCGTGGCCCAGTGGTTAGCATGTCGGGCTGCGGATGAAGCCAGGGTCCATGATTCGAGACATGATGATGCTGAACAAGTTTCACACCTTCGGCTGTGTGTGCGTTATAAATGTGATAGTCAATCCCGTTATTCGGTCAAAAAAGCCAGACAAGGCCCTTTTGTCAGTACTGTTGGTGATTATCTGTCCGTTTAGCTTACCTGCGTAGAAAGGTGCTTTTCACATTGACGGTTCTAATTACCCTGGTATGTACTACTTCTAGAAATATTGATAGATTAATTTATGGAGCCAATTTAACTTTGACAGATATCTTTTGAAACGCACTGTGAAAGAAGGAATGATTTATAAGATAATCTCATGAGAAATATCAAGTCCGCCATAATAATCCTGTCTTCCTTCTAAAACATAGTTTGAAAACTAACCACGTGATAGCACCTAGCGCCACCTATCCGATGTTAGTTTAAGTAAACCATTCCAACGTTTATCGAGAGCATACAACAGAATTGATTAATTTGAACAACTACACTAAAATGGTATCATGCCTATAGAAAACATAATGGAGAAATAAGATATGCTTGCCGATAGTTGTTCTAATATGTATATATTTATATATTTAGTGTTCTTTGGACATTTCAAAGCAAATTAATATTTCATTGGTTCATACAATAAGCAAATGTAATCTAATGAAACATCATTTTACTATCATACGGTTAGGCTTAAGGAATTCAATGTAACAGTTGGAACAAAGACATAAAGTGGTAGAATTGTTTTGGGTCTGTTGTTTTTTTTCTGCACTTGAACAAGATTGGAAACTCCAGATAATGGTAATCAGTCGTTCAAATTATAATACTTCATAACCTATATATATATAATTCTGTATAAGCAATAGATTTAATGAAATAATTTTTGATATAATTGTTAACATATGACTGTTTTGTATTAAGTATGAAATACTTTGAGTGTCAGTAACAGAACTTTTGGTTAATACCCTGCCACCCACCCCTCCATATTTTTAACTTGGGGGGGCTAGACTTAGTTTTAGCACCTTATCGCTGTTGTGTGGATTACTTGTTTCCATATAATAGCTTGGTCTTCTAATTTGGCTTTCCTTCAATACAGCCAAACGTGCCTTTGTGTATAGTGATGATTGAAGAGTCTAATGTTAA